AAATGAAAAGTTATATATCTTATAAATATGCGAATAAAATAACAAGAAATAAAATACCCGCCATTCTAATTTTGAACAAGTTATGACTGTTTTTTATTGGAGTTTTTTATAAACTTCATAAGTAAACAATAAATCTATCAACTGGTATCATTGATCTAATGTTTGTGTTAACTCATTGTATTACAATATTGTGTCAGGTCTATGATGAAAATTTTAAACTGAATTCGACGAATCTAAATGTTATTTACTGTTTTCAAACGTGAATGAAATATTACTTTTCCATTATCAATCGTTAACCCTTCGAGTAAATGTAGACACAGAATAGGTTTCAAATTCTATTTTTTTCTAGTAAATTACTAATGCTAAAGTAATGTTGTCAAGTATAACTGTGAAAGAAATCGTAAGGCAAGCAGTTCATTTTCATTTTAGGAAAGGAACATAATTTTCGATATTATTATATAAATCTTCATATTTTCTTTCTATACAATGTCCGTTTTTCAAATAGACGTAGGTATCTGTTAGGCGAGATTGTATATTTGATTATTATAAAAGTCCAAATACAATAAAAAATAATAATCCTGCATGAAATACATAATAATTTCATAATAGCTTGTATACTTATATTGATGTTTAGTTAGTGAATGTTACAACATGTAAAAAATCCGATATTTTCTGGAATACAGTTTTTTTTACTAACATATGTACATACTTGAATATACATTTTTCATGGATTATAGGTCTTGGTTAGTAACGAAAGACTACAGAATATTTTTCCGTGACCGAGTTGAATAAAAATAAGCGGCCAATTTTATTTCATTACCAGGATCGTCGTTGGGACGATTGATAATATTGGCTCGAGTAGATGAGTCCATGCCAAAAGCCGTCCTTCCTTCGTAGCAAAGAGATGTCTCGTGTTTAGCTCTCCCGCTACGGGAAATTGCTGCGCCGGAAATTGAGTGGCGGAGCTCCCCGCGAGTGTTTGACGTCGTGCGACAAATTGAAAGTTACTGCTACTAGGGAAACGCGCGCGACAATATTTTATAACTTCGGCGTGAATAATGCTCCCGAGTTATGGGTCTATTTAGCAATTTCGAACTGATCCTATCGGCGCGATCAAGTAATAAAATTCATTTTATGGTAATTTCGTTGCTTAAAGTAGTTTAAGGGTCTTCGCTTTCTGATTACTTTTTGGATTGATCGAAGAAGAATTCTGTAACGTTAAAAGGATTAAGAAGCCATTGAACTTATTTTAACCGATAGATTCAAACAATGCAAAAGTGAATACTGTTCTTCATTTTGAGAATGAGAGGTCATTTTCATTAAATGAACGTTATTGTTAATTTTTTTAAAATAGATGTGACGTTATTGTATTATCGGTAAAAATTAGGTACTCTCCTTTTGCCATTGTTTTCGTACACTTACTACGTAGGAAGAAAATAATGGCTAATAACGTGAATATTCTATACATGAATTGATATATACAGTGTGCTGTTTACAAGTGTTTAAGAATCTGAACTAGATTACATAATTCTGGAACTCGAATAGAATTCGTTGCTGTTCGATTTGAAATTGACTTTATTTTCAGATATTTTTTTAGAGTATCTTCATTCTTTTAAAAGTTTCTTAAAACTTGTCTCTTAAAGCTATTGAGTACAAATTAATCTACAATAATACGCATTTGTATAAATGTTTGCTTATTTATATTTTAAAAAGTTTTACTATTGCATATACATATTTGAATTGCATGAATAACTGAACAAACTTTAAAATTAGTGTACCATAAAATTGAATAATCTCCTGCATGCTAAATCTTATTAATTGATTATATAATTCATCTGTTATATAATTACTTAATTTTGTTGTATTATGAAAATCGAAATTTTCTGAGTAACATGAATTTTTCGTATCATGTTTAATATTTCTGATTTTGATTTTTCATCGGGTGGGTTTAAAATATATTTCGCAGAGATTTATGGAACGTAAAAAGACTTTAAACACTCGAAAATTTAACAATTTTTTGTTATATTTCCGATATAAATAAATAAGTTATATTAATTTTCAACTATTATTATCGCTTGAAGAAATTAAATAGTAACAGTAAAAATTACTACGTAGCTACTTCTAATGAATGTTCGTATAAATCAGCAAGTTATCAGAAAAATTGGAATTTTTGTGTTAATATTCTCTTATCAGCAACATTTTAATATTTAATTCTTAATTGCTATTACTTTTCTGTTTGGCACTTACATTTTCTTTAAGAAATATAATCGACAATAATGAGTTCTTTTGTTGATCGATTATAACGTACTTTAAACGTTCTCATAAAATATCCGTTTAAAGAGAAAAGTAATTTCCTTCGAAGCCGAAAGAATAAATAACGCCTTACTTTCTGTTACGGAGATTTACATCATTCAGCGGAAAAATTAGTGGATCCCACGGGGACATCGATTCACCGAGACGGTTGAAGGGGCCAATGCCTTTCAATGCCAATGATCCGCGAAATTGCTTTACGCAATCGGCCATTATGCGTCTGAAAATTTTGCGAGGCATTCGAGATCAGGACGGCGTTTGATGTGATACGGATATTATATGTATATTGCTCGTTGTCAGTCACGTTTGACTGCACCGATCGCGCAATTATCGATACCCTTTTGTCGTGTAATAAAATTTAACCGCGAGCGTTCAGCACAGGTCCCGCACCAGCGAACGTATAAAACAAAGTGTTTCCAAACGTGTGGGAATGTAAACGGGCAAATTCATGAATAGTACACTAGTAAAGGAAAACATGAGCTACTTTCCTTTTAATGTTAATGATGTTTTATTATTGATATCAACATATTATAACGTTTAATACAAATATTCATATTTCTGTATAAGATAATATTGTATTAACACTAAAACTACCGAGCAGTTAATTTGAGTTCTTGAAATTTCTCTATAAAATCTCCGAGAGTGTATTTGTTGTGAGTTGAATTGATTTAGATTTCAGTTTGCATGGTGTTGAATCAATTTGTTTAATAATTTTTCAGAGAAATATTTGTTATCTTTTTAATAATTGCACAAAGAAGACGTTCGGAATGGGTCATTTTGACCCGTCTGGTAATTTTAATGTTAACGTAACAGGATGTGTACGTTAGAACTTTTATTTGAAAAATATTTTTGGAAATGTGGAATATAAATGTGAATTTCTTTTTAATAAATGACTTCTATAAGTCAGATTACTACGTAATCATTATTCTGAATGGCTTATATAAAACACTTCACTCTAGTGTTTAAGTTTGAGATATGTATACGTGATCATGTATATTTTCTATAATTTAGTGTTTCCTGAGAAAAGTTATTGCAATGAAACGAATAACAAAGGTATTTTTATTTTCTTCCACAGGTAGGATGAAATCGTAAAACTTCTATCGTCTGAATAATTACTGATCTTCGAATAATTACTATCCAAGGTGTCACGAATACGTGGAGACCTCTTCATATGGCCCAATATATGCAAGATAATGTTTACCAGGTAGAGGTACATAAATTCCTAAGTCTTCCCTGAATTAAAGTAACAGGAAGAGAACGCGCATAGCATATAACAGAGCGGTTGGGTTGAAAGGGAGGAGTACCTTTTAGGAGTTTAGAGATTACACTTGGGGGGGAGCTAGTAGCAATGCAGAGGTGAATCTCACAAGAGCAAGCCGCTCATTCCCACGAAGGATTCGACAGAACTTATAATACCTACGATGTGGGATCGGTTGCGGCACGCTTCCATCTACTATCACCCTCTTGACGCTATCGTTCCGTCTTTAGACACCTTCTGCTCCTTTGCATCGCTACGCGTTTGTAATTCAGTGTTAAGTGCCACTTATCTGGGTTTCGGGGGCCCGAATCTTTCTGCGAAATCTATGGTTTTACATTTAAAATGTCTATACCACCATCGTCGGAGAATCGTTGAATACTTATACACTATGTTCGTTTTATTTGTGTACAATGGAATATTTCCCTAATTATCGAGGATACGAAAAGATGTTTCAGATGAGAGTTTCTTTTTTATTTTTTATCAGTTATTATATGTCGCATCAACTTCTTGGGTTATTAGCGATAACGGAGGGAGGATGGTTTGTAAATCATTGTACAGCGTGGTTTGTTTCAGATATTGTAGCAGGTTTGATATTGTTTCGCCGTCTTTAAAGTTGTCTTTTAGTTCGGGTTTGATATTGAGTCGGTTTCTTATCGATGTATATAATTCGTATTGCAGTGTGTGATCTAGATAAGAGTCATTTAATGATCAGGGACATTTAATAAGCTGTATCGATAGTTTTTACATTGTTATTTAAAAGGATTTTAGATTATTTTTTAAGATTTTAAGTCAACGATGGCTATAACTTTGAACTCTAATTAATAATATATCGACTATTTTTGTAAATATTCGTAGGAAGCCTCACCTTTTGTAGATCTACCATAATGTCCCGCGAGTGTCTAAACAATTGAATATCATCTCGATATTGTTAATTGTACTAATTTAAAGTATTCAATGATAGTATGTATTATTTATTATTAAAGAGTATGAGAAATTTAATATTTTAATAATAACCGAATTAAATTTTTTGGAAGGTTGGAATGTTTTTAAGAAGAATAAGAAAAAATGTTTTAAATACTGGAGGTCATGTAGATGGCTAACTGAAATTTTATAAAATGTTGCATTTATACAAAAAGAAGAAAATTATCGTTTTTATCCATTCTTTTGTCATGAATTTTCCATGAATCCAATGTTAAAATAAATATTAGTCCCACTGCATTATCACGAAAGATATTAAATAATTACGGAAATATTCGACTGTACACAAATAAAACGGAAGCACTGTGTATCAGTGAACGTGGACTAAGACCAACAAGATGTTTGGAATTGTAATACATAAACGATTTAACTAAAAATATTTATTAATTTTCAATATTTTAATGAAAATGTAAACCTTATAATATTATTTATTTTAAACACTCTTTATCCTTTGCAAAAGTTCGTTCTTTTTTAATGTTGTTTGATATTTCATAAGCGACTAATTAATTTTCTTTGTAATGAACACTAGGTAATTATGAATACACCATAATTGTTGTGACGGCATAACGAGACGCAGAAAAGATTTTCTTGCCGAGCGGATGCTTTAGCCCAGGTAGCACGGATAAGCAAACATCGGCGTCGCAGACCCGTGCGGATGCGTAAATTTGCCGAGCCCTAAAACGGGCAATGAAGCAAATAAACAAGCTAGCTCCGCACGTGGGGAAAATCTTTTCTGAACGGAATCACGGGGATTTCCGTGTACCTCATATCTTTCTCTACGGACAAAGATGTGGGGGTGAAGGGACGTCTTCGTGGAAGCCGCCGTGGCAACAAGAACCACTTCACGTTCGTTCGTTCTGGCGGTAGGTCAGACACAAATTCTTCCGCGTACTTTTTAAGCGTTGACTAATAAATAAGTGTTACCGTTAAATAATGTCAGTCATTTCGCACCCTACTCTCACAATTGTGTACTTTGTAAACATGTTTTATAAAGATATTCGAGTAGTTAGTTTTATTACATAAATATATTCTTTTCTATTACATATAAATTCTTATAGATACATTACTTTTTTAATGATCATGTATCGAAAGAACAATTTTTAATGATCATGTTTAAAAGTCTCAAAAAAATTTTCTACAGATAAATCATTTGTAAGTGTCATGTATTTACCGTGTCTTGCGATGTGCAAATTCTTACTGTAAAAGATGACTCTCTCAGTCATTGTTTCTACAAGGTAACTCTGAACACTTCGAACTTGGCAAGTTTTCTACCACAATTGCACCAAAATCAGCGAATGTCACTTTAGCATATTTCGTCATTAGTCGTCGATGATTTTATGTGACACAATAAATTAGAATTACTATTTAATTTAATTTCTCTCATTCCTAGCCTAATAAATAAACCGCTAGAATTTGTGCGGTGATTATTTCACCGGTTTATGCGGCAATATTTACTCTACCTTTAAAGATTTAACTATGTAAAGTTTCATAAATTTCTTGATACTCCTATAAATGACACATGGAACTAACAACGTAATGGTCAGGCTCAAAATGCAAAAAACAACGAAGACAGCAAAAATATCGATGTGGTGTATCTTGTAGATCTCCATATCTTGGAAATGGCTTCGAATATGTTTCGCCCCTTTGTGACGGATAGCGTGCTCTATCCACCACATAGCGAGATCCATCGGATGCTGCGGCAGGTCGTGCAACAAGTCACTAAGCTTCCTGATATTTTCTTTGTAACTAAACGTGAGACGACAGAAGACAAAGGACTTAATTACTCGGTGACGCTATTATCTGGATTAAAAGTAGGAGGGGTAAGGGTCGTGTCTTAGAGAGAACACAAAGATTCAATGGAAGAAAACATCCTCAATGGGAAAATCCGTTGAACCGACTGATTAAAGACAAGTAATTACCTTTGATTTGTGATTACTTTTAGAATGGTTTGTTTGAATGTTTCTTTGTCGATATTGGCGAACTGCAATACCTCCGCCACACCATGATCGTTTAATGCCCAAACATTCAAAAATTGATCAGCGAAGACAGGCATGCCTAGCAATGGCACTGCGTATTCTAACGCCTCTTCTGTACTCTGAAGGCCGCCTTGATAGATGAACAATACGATGTTCGGATGTGCTACGGAAAATAAGAGTATAATACAGGGTGTCCTGTTTTAAACGATTAATTGTCATCAGTTTATTCTATGAGTAGAAACAAGAAAAAAAATCTTATATGAACATACACCGGTCCAGAGTATTTAAAATCGATATGTTCGTAATAGAAATGGACATCTCAAACCTGTATGATTGTGTTATTGCATTGAAATTTTAAGATACCTAGTATCCGGCGAGTACAATATATTCATTATAAATATATCGATTTTAGATACTTCTGAGGAACAGTGTAAGTGTCGAAACGATTTATTCTAAAAGTATATAAGAAATATTTGTTTTTATTATTATGTTTCCATTTTTAAATACCATCCCTTGTTTTAAATACACGCTTGATATCTTTGAGGTTCAGTTTGTCACTTTCTGGCTTGGATACTTTCTTTCATGTTTGTTCTTGTTTCGAATTAAACCTTCTATTATACGCTATAGCTTTTATTATTCTCCACATATATGTTTCTTGTGTAATCGTGTTGTAAAGCGTTTGCAGATGTATGTTTATATAATATTCATTTTGTTTCTACTCATAGAACAAACTGGTAAAGTTGGATGGTTTAATACTCAGTTTTTTCGTACAATACACTGAGTTATTTTCAATAATATCAATGTGACCATAGTACACCTGACCCTCGATTTACGCAAAAATCCGTTCCACGTGGGTTCGTTTTACGCGAACGAAAATCGCGTAAATAGAGCCTGTCGGTACAGGAGAAAACAAAATGTTAAAGAGAAAAGCTGGTATAAGTTTTAGAAATACATATTTATTTCACATGGCCTAACAAAAGAAATAATAGTAATGGCAATCTAGAAAACAAAAGTATATTTTATTCAGTGTTTCTAAATTCAGATCGCGTTAATTGAGATCGCGCGTAAAAACTATCGTATTTAAAAAATAGTATTCCAATTTATCACGTAAAAAAGAGGCTCGCGTGAAAAAAGTCTGCGTAAATCGAGGGTAAATATATTGCCAATAATTCATTAACTATAGGTAATTGCTTGATATTTTCGAATGAATGTTTAAAATACTAACCGAGAACTTGTTCTTGAGGACACCACTTTCGTAAAATTACATTATCAGGCTTGTTTTCCAGATCAATCTCAGATTTCCAGAGGACTGTGTATGGTAGCTCTGCGAATACTGACAATATCATGTTTCTTATATGAAGAGGTAACTGTTTAACGTTCACATTAGAACCCATACTCATGTATATGAATCCAGACTTTGCATTGTCTAGTTCAGTTTGTAGATCCTAGATGGGAAATTAAAAAAAATGAATAAATATTTAAATACCATAATTTATCGAAATAAGACCACAAAAGATGTGAGGTAATACGCAGATTATAATTATTTAATATTTACACGTTTATCTTGTCACGAAAAGAAATTCACTAATAGCAGTATACTATTTCGTATATTCTTTTGTTATATTTCTATGTCTATAATCTCAGATGCTTTAAATAATAATGAGAATACATTAATGGACATATGAAAACATTAGTTTAGAAAGTTTTTTTGGTATTTTGATAATTACCGGAGGCAGACGTTTATTCTTAGTATGGTTTGAGAAACGACATCCACCAATGTGTATGATACCAGGAACCGTTGGTCGACTATCGGTGAAATACTGATGAACACTTAATAACAAAATATCTATTTGGTTTTTAACTGTTTCAATTGGTGGTACAGTATCACCGAAATGTTTTCGCATTACTTTCTCCTGAATTGGTAAATTCTGATAGTAATACATGTACGCGATGCGCGAAGTAAAATAGGCCTGATATATTCGATCAAATAAACCATCTATTCGTTTACCAGTTACTGGACTTCGTGCAGAAGATTCCAGTAAATTTAATCCTGCATTACAACAAATATATGCATTAGTTATATAGAATGTAAACGATCTATTATGTTTTCTTACAAATAAACAAATAAAGTTTCCTGAATAAGTTTTCTCTTTCAACTTTCCACCGAACAAGGAAAACATTTATTTGTTTCTCAAACAAAAGTTTAATCCAAAGGTAACTAAACTTTTACCAGGGGTTATTGGTAAATAGATATTATAGAGTCTGTTATACAGTTACTATTATTACACTGTACTATTATACAGTCGACCATTTTTTTCAACTGGAACATCTCTTTGCTACAATCTTCAATAAATATTTACAATAGGGGAACATTTATCAATACCTTCAACACTGTTAACATAGACATTCTTTGTAGTTAATCCTAAGAAAAAATTACTGATTCCTTAAAAAGATATTAATTGTTAAAAATAAAACACAAAGGGACATTCATTTTCCAAAATTATTGAATACAATTGTAGTATTTAGAATTTTTAGCGTAGGTTAAGGTACTTTTAGGAAGAGTGAATGTAAGAATGAGTGTGAGTGAAGGACAGGCTGTAAAACGGTCGAGGGAAAGTGGTCTGCACAACGTTACGGACCTAAAACTGCAGGGCCAGTTTTCCAGGGGGGCATCTGAGTGTTTGTGATGAGTACGAGTGAGAAGAAAGCTTGTGGGGGAGAGAATGATTTTTGGGAGAGAATGTCTGTAAAAGAGTGGCAAGAGCAGAGTCGTGTGTTGGCCTCCGTGGCATTGAGTTGTATTTTTTACGTGTTGTCCGTGTTGTTTCCATATTTTATTAAATACATATATTTATTCCTAGTTCTCGATTACTAAAGATCCACTCTTTCACGATCTATAATATAGTAACCACTATACAATATTTGTTTAAAATTTGAATGTTAGTTAGAGGAAGGTCCACCCCCCGTTCTGTATCTCCACCCTGAAATAATCTACCATAATCGAATTTTACCGTCGAATTATATTTAACATGACTTAATTTGGTTTATATTAAGGATGAGTTAGATTATTCTCATTAACCTATTATTCCCTCCCTCTCCAAAGTAACATTCTCCCTTCTTTACGTAAAGAAATCTCAAGTATTTCCTTGGAAAATATAGTATTTTTAAAAGTCAATGAATTTTTAAGTAGAATGAACAACTAAAACCTTTTGGAAGCAACTGGAAAAAATGTTCCTGATAACATATGTCAACCTCAAACTCGACTCATCTATAATATGAATAATGGAAAATACCACAATTTAAGCTATCAATAACTTTTTAAGGATAACGAGCGACAGTTAAAATCTCTTTCAGCTTACTCGAGAGACCATCCTCGACAATATATGTCAAATTTAAAATAATTGGAACATGTTCCTCTATTGTAAATATTCGTCCAATCTTCTAGTCATGAAGAAATTTAATTGTCTGCAATTTTTAACTTTAGAAAACAACGGAGGAAAAATATGCAATGCATAGGATGGTTGTCTTTGCAGTTTTTCACCTCAAAAGCGATTTTGTTATCTATACATGTAAAATATTAAATTTCAAGTCATTTATATTATATTAATTAGTTATTCATTTTAGGTTAATTAGATTTCAAGTTGTAAACTTGTTCCTCGTTATGTTATTATTTACGCCCGTGCTGACCAGCCTTACGCGTAACATTATTAACGGTTCGTCATGGTTCAGAGAAACCATTAATCTTGAATAACTTGAAAACGAACAGGAAATCGTAATTTAATTACTCTTGATTTATGTCTAAATTAAAGAACTTATAGAGTTTATCGAATTAGACTTTAAATAGGTATAATCGACTTGAAACTTACATATAATGATAAAAATAGTGTTGAATGTCTTAAAACTGATTCATGTTTTAATAATATTTTAAAAGTTAGCTATTCATTTAGATTAACATGTTATTGGTTATTCGAACAAAGAAATTCTTATGAAAAACTTTAAAACATTTATGTCAAGAGTACGAGGATATCGAATGTCATCAAATATTCTCCTTGATTATTGAGAGTATATTTCATTGAATTAGTCCAATCGCGCGAAAAGATATTCCTTTATTAAATACCTACATATTCAAAACCATAATTTCAAGTAAAACACATACCGAAGTGAATCTGTTGTGGGATTATAAGGTCCAGCGATGATACTCCAATGATCGGTATATTTAGTCGAATTGACACTGCGTTCAGAGCATCGTAGGCGAGTTGTTGTATCAGGATCGCGTCGAACTTTTCTGTAGTTCGCGGATCTATGATTTGTTGCATTACAGGGTGAGAGAGCACTGTATCGCTGACCTCCTCTCCAAACTCTACTACATTGTGCATAAAGGACAATATGCCTTCCTGTTGTCCCACTTTGTAAAAGTCCATTTTGCTTTTCCATTTACGGGTTAAAATGCTTACGTCGACTTCCGTATAATTCGTTAGATTTACATTTGTAGGATAGGCTGTGAATATAACCACTTCATGACCACGTCTCACAAGTTCGTTCGTCAGCGCTCTAAAAATCACCTGGAAAAGATGAAAGTAGCGTAAGGAAGAATGAAAGTAACCGGTTTTAAAATTCTAGGCTTTTTTTTCGTGTATGTAATTTTAATATCAATTTCTGTATTGTTAGATTACTCAGTTTTTCAATCCTTGCCTTTCCTTTTGTTTTTGTTTTCACTACAAAACATTTATCATCTAACTTGTTCATATTTATTTTGCAGCCAGTTATTTGACTGATTACGGCAGGAAAAGTGTCGGTACAGTTAGTGTTAAACGAATTTTTATGATTTTATGGTGTCCACGGTAAATTGATGTTTTACGGTTAATTTGTGAATGAGTTATCGTTGAATTGAACCATTAAGAAATATCACTATGAATAGATATAGTTGGAGGTATGGAAGTAAGAAACAGTTTCTTCAAATTTACCTTATTTATTATTTAGTAAATGTTTACGTCGATTGTGGTCGACACAATTATACGAATGTGCACGTTAATTATCTTTCTTTAACCCTCTAATTTCCAAGATCAATACAAATAAACGTAGTATTAACGGAGAAAGAAGAAGAAAATGCATAAGATACTATTACCAATAGATTTAGAAATATGTTAATCCTTTGCACCATTTGACTTGACTCGGTAAAACTATAAAATCTAATATTTAATGCTGAACCTTGTACAATGCCTTGAAACATGAAATATTGGAATAATATTTCCTCAATGTTCTTGTGATTTCCCTTCGAGTTAGTTTCAAGGATTCTCGTCTTCGCTTCATCAAAAAATGTTAAACATTTTTACTGAGAAACTTCCGAGTGCAAAAGGTTAAATAACAAACAATACATTCTTTTTAGCGATTAAAGCGTTGGACTTCCTACGGTGAAGTAATATGAAGCCAGTATTTTCTTGCTAATCTTTACTCATCACACACACCGATTTTCTACCCATGCTGTTCGTACCTTCGACTGCGACTCATCCACTCATCATCTCCACCACACATAGCACGCACAAGGGTCACACACTCTATCAGCATTTACACGAACCATACCAAATTGCCGTTGCGCCGATCGGTTTATATTCTAACACAGCGGTTTTCAACCTTTATGCTACTAAGCCACCCTAAAAAAAATTGTTTTTTCCGCGCCTTACTATCTTTTAATAGATACAATAATATAGACACGTTTTAAATAGTAATAACCCTGTTACAAAATAAACATTGCTTCACTGAATTTGTACTGTTACATTACGATATGTAGTTTATTTATTTGTAGATATTATGGTATGAACATTAATGTTTTATTGGAAATTTTGGCGTCCCCCGTGGCAATAGTCCGCGCCTCCCAGGTTGGAAACTCACAGCTCTAACAGAAAGAATCAATGCAGAAAGAATAATATTGTCCATTTATGATATTAACCTGTGTCTACGGCGACTTGGTGTTTGGCTTTACCATATGAGATTACAAGGCTGTATGACATGGTCAAGACACTGAGGACAGGACTGACAATGAATGATGACGAAGATCAGATGATATGCATGGTGACCAAAGACAATCGACGCAACAGGTTGGCATGTATTTGCTTTTTAACAGTGTGTGTATGTTTCCTTTGCGAGGTCGTAGAATATATCAAAATGATAAATACCTTTGCTACGACATGCAAATTATGGTTACTATTTATATTTATGATAATTCGATTCCCTACTAGCAAAATAAAAAATGTATTTTTTTTATGCACGTTACGAAACTTCGGATATGTAAAAGTTTGCTTTCTACTGAGACACATACATATCTAATTAGCAAATTGACAACATTTTCATAGTATTTGTGAAATACTATTTAACGTCAAAATAGAGTTACAACTGTTATTAGATACGTCGATTTTTATTTCGGTACTTCAGAACCTATAGATATTATATTGGTTCTATAACTGTTATTCTCCGATTCTGCAATTCCATTGATTTATATAATAGATAAGTCTTAATATGAATAATTTATAATTGATACATAACCATTCTAGAATTGTAAAATGTGCTACATGTATATTATATAGAACCGAATCACAGCCGAATTGCAAAACCGAAATGTACAACGGACAAATGGCAGTTATAAGATTAATATTATAAGGTTTGTGAAGAATCGAAACCAAAATCGATATATCTAATAACACTTATAACTTTATTTCGGTTATTCGTAAGTGTTTCAGTCGAAACCGATAATATAATACCGATAATATAATATAATATAATATAATAATATAATATATAATAATATGATAATATAATATATAATAATTCGAAATAGTTATTTTCGGAACCTTTCCACTCCCGGGATAAAAGTATTAATTAATATAAATTTTATATATTGGATTTGAAAAAGAAGTAAGTTTTATAAATGTTCGAAATAAATTCATACACTCGATTACATTTTACAAGTAATTAAATTTAGCTCTATATTGAATATTGTAATATTCAATAATCATAGGAATATTTGTTCACCAATGGATTGAACTTATCCACATTTATCAAATGAAATGGAAACATCGTATAAGGGCGAATGAAATATATAATAATTATTCAACTAGACGTAATATGCAAGGTGAATCATTTATTTAACACATTTGATATTTTGTATATGATTAACGATATTATCAAATGGTGTAGAAAATAGATAAATACATACTTTTGTTAAGTTTATATAATAAACGGTTTTATATATCAAATGAAAAAACACGTAGAAATAAGTTACTAATATAAAAGAAGCCATTTTTCTAAGTAATTTCATTTTAAGCAAAACAGAGTTTCGAAATATATATCAAAAATATATTCGAATAAATACAATTTATTTTTATTTGCAGGGATATACAGGGTGTTTTTAAATATGTTGAACGAATGTCAATTAATATAATCGACGCAATCGATGCAAATTACAAGTGTTGCGAGTGAACTTGGCGTGTGCGTGATTTGCGTGTGGATTTTATAGTTTGGTTTATTAAAGGTCTTACGTGAATTGTAATTCAGATTGCACTGCGTAATTCTATTCCGAAATGAGTAAAGAATATCTTAAACGTAAGATATTGTTATCATACTGGCCAAAGATTTCTGTTTTAAACAGATATCTACGTTATAAAAAGAATAGAGGTGACCTCTATATCTTCCACGCGTTTGAATTCATAATGAAAGTCATTGTATTACGCATTTCTGAAAATCTTGAATTATTATCGTTTAAATTTCTCGGTCATTAAAAATAGCAAAAATATTTTAGGTTAATAAAGTTAAAGTCAATGAATAAAAACGGTACAATATATCATATCGTCGTGCCGATAATATATCATCGTGCCACTTAGAAAATACAAAGTAACTGTTATCCTACCGGAAAATTTGTCAGATCTTATGATAATGTCAATGGGTTATACAGGGTGTAACAAAATCCTTGTGCACAAATGATAAGGCGTGTACGACTCACTAAACCGATTTAAAAAACTCCAGTGAACATGGGTTCAGAACTCAAATAGTTTCCGATATAAAAATAGGTTTAGTTTAAAATAAAATTTATGGGGACCGAATTAGGAGTATAGAATTATCTCGAAAATGATCAGTGACATGAACAAATGTGTCCAAAAAAAGTTATAGGGTACGAAATATTACATGTCACAGCGGAAGGTATTTGACCGTGACGTGACCTTGAACTATCCTGCGAAGGTGATGCCATAATTTTTAAATAGAACCCCATATTTTCTATTTTACATTTTTGAAGCTGACATTCAGACGTTTCCAAACCATAGACATGAAATTTTTCGTGCAAGCCGTTATTAAGATATTACTTGATTCAAAGTTGCTGGTTTGTCAGTAGTGATAGTAGCCCACGGACAGTTCGACTGACAACTTGCGGGTAGAAGGGTAAGAGGATGCTCGGTTGAGCAACCATGACGGGTCAGTTTCGATAGATTATCCATAGTGATTCAACTTTGAAATATAGTGGAGCGAGTGAAACTCCTATAGATTCTCATAAAAACGTATGGGAGAATAAAAGAAGGTGGCGAGTGCGATGATTGCGTTCTCAGCTGTGAGTTCATGGTCTTATCGATAAATCATGGCATTCACATTTTCAGACGAAATCATATCATATAACAAACAAAGATCATGGATATTGCGTTCTTTTACTTACAATCACTACTGACGAACTTTTGAAAAACCAGAAATTTTGGATGCTGATACCTTGAAATCTTATTAAAGAAATGAGCTAAAAAGATTTTTATTTACCATTACATTTGCCCCTTAAAATAGTGCAATAGCGCTGTGTATAAATATAATATATATAATACATAGCCTTACTCGAACTATCAAAATTAACTCTAAAAATGCGATGATTGTTTCACAGGTTACCCTATATATGAAAGGAATGTTTAATTAATTATTTTTACTGATTGTTTGCAGGATGGATTAGACTAGTTGTAGAATTTATAGGAATAGTTACGAAAAATTCATAAGAATCAGAGCGATAATAACAAGATTTTCAAACTGATAAAATTAAACATAATATTTACGTTTCTTTTCTTTGTACTTTCAAATATTCGCAATCGATGTCAAGTTAAACCTGATAGACGCAGTTTTATGTTTCATTCATTATTTAAGATCTTCCACGTAACATCGGAATACTATTTTGATACCAATACCTTAGGATTAGTACTCGCAGATGCACTCAAAAATTAAAAGAGATATTTTTAAACCTGATGGCTGTGAGCTGGATACGGTGCAATGCCTAGAATTCTGGATCCAGCTGCGATCGATGAGATTGCAACAATAATAACACTGATGGTTAACCGGAGCATTTCACTTGTTATTGTAACGAAACTTTCGTGGCTCCGTTCCGTTCGGCAAATCAAAGTGGATTAAAGTTTTTAGCTTCACGAGTTTATCAACCTACTATGAAATTACATGCGGTAGATAAGATAATATTGTGAAATAATATGCTACTTATCTACTTTGCATTTTGTTCACAATTTTTGTATGTAAATTTCATATTATTCATTCATAACTGCTTTCTTTCCTTGAACGCATATTTTAAAATGGCATAGTTGACGGAGGTAAAAATATTTTTACAATAGAAAGGTTGCAACATTTAAATGTGTAACTTTAAAATACAAAATTAAGCGTTACGGATTTTAAAAGAAAACGTGAAGTCTATACAAAATGCAACTAGAAAATTATTGAAATGAAAAGTAATAATGAATAAAGAACTAAGTAGTGAAAAATAAAATGGTAATAGAATATTATAAGAATTTATAAGGAAATAAAATAATTAGACATAAAAATTAAAACAAAATTTTATAAAGGAGAAAACAACATATGTCCAATGTATTTAAAGAATATATTTAAATCGAAATCGGAAAATTTGATTCGAACATTTATAAATGCTGAAAAAGGTACTTATAAATGTTACTATTACTTTCATTACAAGCTATAGCACCATAAAATATGATAATAATAATGGTTGTTATAATAATGACAATCATTTAGTTGAAGACTGTCTATTGATACAAAAGAAAATAATTTAACGAAGGTTAAGGAATAATTTAATAGGTTAAACAAAAAGAAAATAAGGAAGCATTTTATCTATCAGACACGAAGAAAAATCATATAAATATGAAGAAGTTTTCAGAAGAATGGATACGTAAAATAAAAATGTTATTGAGATAATAAATACCAAAGAAAAAATAATTAACTGAATAACACACGTAAAAAGTTTGTTATGTGCATTACGAGTAGAATAAATCATTAACGGTAAATTAGTTTTTTTTATGTTTTTCGCGCGTGCTAGAAAAATTATGAAATTCAATTTTTTTTTAAATAACATTTGACAGACTTTTATTTCACATATTCCACTTTTAATGTATAATTCGTTCCTACCGAAATAATCTTTGACATTAATATTTTCCTCGATTAAGGCGTTTCAGAAGTAAAGGTTATCACAATGGTAATGATCATAAGTTGACTAATGTTTATAATGCTGACAGAAATATGATCAAAATGATTCTAGTGTTTAGAAACTAGAATATTTATTATTACATATGAATGGTTTATTCAAATTTGCTAAGATTTGTGCATCATAAGTAAATATTAAATGCCACTAGCCGAGTCTGCCTTGGAAAGTTTCAACCTATATCACGACAAATTCAATTGTATTAGATCTTGTAGTTATACGTAAAACGAAATTGTTAAGTGACCAAGCCCAAGTTATTCTATCCAAGCTCCTTCATTACCACCGCGGGCCAGCGTATCAGAATTTAGAACTCCATAAAATTCGAGAAACGAATTAGTGATATTCGAAGGGGCAACGGTCACCTTCCTATTTGAGTAACACTCTGAAGAAAAATCAGTACAATCCCAAGTCTATCAAGTTTTACAAAGCATACAACAGAATTCGTTGAGCTTTTTCCTTGAACACCATTTTCCTTGAAAAAGTTACAATTATTACGTATCATTTCCAATTATTCCATCCACTTGCCATAACGTTCATTTTTATTCTACCGATTTCCCGGCGTCCCGATATAGACTACAGACCATGAAAATGCGGCGTTACCATTATCATCGATGCCGTAGAACGTCATTGGCTTAATTGGTCGGTCGGTCGCACGTTTCGCCGGTGGTTGGCGTGTATTTGCTGGAACCATGCAGTTGAGAGCAGCCACGCGTGATTTCCCTCTGCACGACCATCTGCACGCATCACAAACCCCAAAAGGGTGCTCTTTCACCCGGCCACCATCGGCTGGGTGGCCAGTGGGTGGCACGAGATATTGCCGGTTGCCCGGGTGAAGAGTCGAGATGGCGGCTGCGGGGCCGCCGGTGGTCTGGAAAGCGACGATGCGCAAGTTCCAAAACAAACATACGACTTGAACAGACTGGATCGTTTTCTGGTTGGAAAGCTGCCTGGAAAATCGGCACTGAACTTCGGACAACAAGACCACCACGAGTTATGACCGTCGGCCTAGCTTGCCGATTCCAAACACTCGTTATTTTTTCAACGCGGTCCTCGCTCGGGATCCAGCGTTCGAGTTTGCGACAACTTGTGACCTTGCTCGGGTAGGGCTGTGTCGCGGCGAAATTTGAAAAAGTTGCACGGATGCTCTCCTTGTATCTGAAAACCAGAGGTCGAATGAAAATATTATAAATAAAAAAACATAGTTATTAAACTTCACTGTTTTGTGAATTAGATTTGAGAATTGTTCTAAGAAGTTGAAACAAGGAAGAAATAGATTTACTTTGTACTTTAACATTTCAATTTTATTATGACAGTTCGGCTTTAACAGGGTATTTTATGTTTGATTAATATTGATTAATTAAATTCTGGAGTATTGTCTATTGTTATACAGATGGTTATCTGTAAAATATAAAAGCTACGATTGTTTTTTTAATTGGAATCATTTAAAGAATTCAAAGCAGATAGATGCTCGCTAATTAGTTGGGAACTGACTACTTCGATAATTGTTTTACTACTTAGCACTTTTTTCGTCAGTTTATGTCTCTTCTCGAAATATATTTGTTCTCTCATTGGACTTACAATGACATAGTTAATGCATAACTGCCATCTCGATATAGACTCAGGAAATACACGAAACATCTGAAAATATAGACCAAAATATATTTCGGCACATTCAGCCAAAGTTTAATTTCATTAATAATTTATTTTGAAAAATTCATTTCAGGATACACTTTCAGTTTATATATTTTTCTCATTAAAGAAGAATATTTTCCCTCCCATAGAAAAATAAATTACAGGAAAACCTGAAATACATCAGAAAGCAGAAATAAAAAAAAAGGAATCCATTAGGTAGGTTATCGTTCCGATCAATATCTCAATAAGCAGTCCTCAATTCATAAAAATCGGCGATCAGCAAACGCTCATATAGAAGCAATCTATTCATTCCAGTCCCCGCGCTGAAATCCGCGTTTCATTTACTCGCGCCCCTCCTTGGCCTCTTTATCATCCCCATCATCATAAAATTGTGGATACGTCAAAGAGGCGCAGTAACTCGGAAGAAGCAAACGATCTCTCAAATCAGATCGGACCTGAGAGCCTTTGAACGGTTCGATGCTGCAAGGAATTGCACACCGTTCGCCAACGCGGATGGTAGTAGTTGGAACGAAATGGCGGCGGCGTGGGGGTGGGGGTTCTTCTTTCCGCTGTGGAGAGAAGATAGCAGGTATTATCGGGAAACTAATTAAACTGGAACATAAGAAATAAAATAAAGAGAAGAAGGATTATCGTTCTCATGGTAGACGGCTACGCTCCCTCCCTTCTCTGCCTCTATCCTCATCTTCGTAGCCTACAAACTACCCTTCTAACCTTCGAAGCATCTACTCGGTAACCGTCTATCTACCAACATAACGCAGAGTTACGTCGGAGTCGGTAAGTCGATGGGGGTGGTCCCTGCAACCTCGACGGTTCTACTTGCAGCGGCGTAACTGCAGGTACCCCGGTGCCGGAGGCCGGAAAGTAATTAGGCTGTAGGCGAGAGATGTAGCGGATATTGTACCGCGGTGGTTGTTACCTGCCTCGCTACGCCGCCAACCTGGCTGCGGTTGTTGTTATCTAACTTAAATGAACCGTGTAATAATACCGTTCGACGGTGTTTCGGGTGACGCCAATGTGGTACTGGCCCATTTTCATTATTTCTTCGGCGGAGACGCGGTACACTCCGATAAACTGGGTTTAAGGTGCCAAACAATCGATTTAAACCTGTTTATATTCTTTTATAGGCGAAACTGCAAATTAATGTCTATTTAAACTTATATCTATTAATTTGTTTATATAATAATAATCCTAATAATAATAGTAATTCAACGAAAAGGTCGATTAAATATTTACTCAAATTCATTAACGAGTGGAGTAAAAACTTATTTCAGTATCTTAAACATACACTTGTCATAAAGAATCTCAGTTCGTGTTTACTATTTAGTTTCAAAGTTCCTTACATCAAGCGAAATAAGGTGCGAAAGTTTGAAAGTTTCTTACATCAACGAATAAGGCGTGAAACAATCGATTTAAACCTGCTTATATTATTTTATAGGCGAAACTGTGCTCGAATCGTATTATAGATTAATTAATATAAATAAATAGATACAGACAAATAAATCAACAATAAATCTATAAACATACTCAGATATCATACTTCTTACTATTCTAAGCGGGAGCAACAATAGATAATAGAATAACGTGTATACAAAAGTAAAATAACACGTGGATATAAAATAGACTGGATATAGTAATAATATAATAGTGGATATAAGATAGTCAACAGTGTAAATACAAGATAGATGGGTGGCATAAGTGGAAGATGTAACAGAACGAGCTGAAAGAAGAAGAAAATAAAACAACATGACTAGACTCAATAGGATATGTTGCATAGTGTTGCTCTCAACAATTGAATCGATGTCCAAAAGAAGAGTCTATGTTATATTTCATAAATTTTAGATGATGCTGGAAGAATTAACTATCGTTCACTGTAGCGACCGGACAAACGGGTGGTATAACATGTTCCCTTCATCCACATTGAAAAATTAAGGTAATAAATTAATAATTAAAATGCAATTTGTAACTTATTACAAAAACAAAATTATTGTTTTATTGATCACATAATTGTTAATTATTCGTGTTGGGAAATAGTGTTTATATAAAAATATTATATGATGTTCGTGTTTATATAAAAATATTATATGATGTTCGACAGTTTGTAATACAGGCCATTGATTTATGTAATTGTAAATGTTTAGTCTTCTTTTATGTGTAATTTCTGACATCTAGAGCAGTAATTAAGAAATAAAACTCTATAGAAACTTCCTTTACATCACATTCTGTCCTTTTTCACACAAAAGA